CATGGTTCACTATAGATAAATATTACATATAAACAACACATCATAAGCACAACATAACAACTATATGTGTTATCACACATTTTTAATAGGAGATCTCCTTACAACGGAGGGTAACCAGTTTAAGTGGTTCGACCTTACCGAATCCACAACATACAGTGATCTTTTTGGCTTGCTAGATCAACAGCAAATTGGGTATTAATCCAAAATACAACAACTTGGTTTCTTGAATGTCGTCACTTAAATAAGGAAGTTGAGTACTACTGTCAAGGTGGAACAACTAAGCATGGGTCTATCATGACATTAGTTAGCTTAACTAAGTCACTTGTGAGATTAGTCCACCAACTACCCTCCAAATACTACGACCTTTCGATACTTAGTAAAGAACTAAGTTCCTAACTTCGTACTTTATGATTCGACCTGACTCACATACAGTACCAACTAATGTCCTAGATGAAACTCAACTATCCTTTTTAAGGGTTAAATTTCCAAAAATGGTTTTCAATAAATTGAGCTCTCGGAACACTACAACATGATATCTACATAATGAGATATGCAACTTCTGAAAGCATCTTCTCCACTAATGCTAAGTTGATCAACATAGTTCAACTTTCAACACCATGCTTAAAGCATTCTCAACAACACAACAACATCATACATATAGCATATTCAAAACAGGTAAACAACCACACGACTTACAACTTAACTAAATTTTCAACTAGCAACTCACAACATAATCATCATCAACCAATATATCAACTTTCAACATATAGATTTCATTATCATACAACTTATTAATAAACTCAAAAAACAAGCGTTCATCATATAAATCATTCATTATGCAAGCCATAAACTCAATTAGAGAAGAAAATTATTTGACTAGGTTCCCACATTAAGCATGGAATCTCATGCTAAGCCTCAACCTCCTAGAGGCACACCTGAGTCCTCATGCTAAACATGAAAACTCACGCTTAGCCTCAATCTTCTAGAGGCACTTACATCCTCATGCTAAGCATGAAAATTCACGCTCAACCTTAGTTTTCTAGAGGCACATTCTCATGCTAAGCGTGAAAACTCATGTTTAGCCCCACAATAGAAACTCATGCATAGTTGAAGAACAACCCAACAGTTATGAACACCGTCCAATCTCCAAAATCCTCTCAACTTTTGCAATAATCCAAGCATGTAGCCACAAAATTTTCCAATTATAACATGCAACTCAGAAATCGAAGAAAAACAAACATGTAACAACAACACATCAAGTAGATTGTCAAATTCTAAATCTTTCACCAAGAACACTAAAAATCTTGTCCAATCTTCCATCTCAAAACTCCTTAGTCATGAAAATGAAAGAAAAAAAAAAGTTCAAGCAACATACACAACATAGATCAATCAAGAGTTGAGTTCTAGCTTCTCTTACCTCAAGGTCTCCCAATTCATGAGAGAAAAAGGGAAAAAAGAAAAAAGAAAAAAAGAAAACTTCAGAAAATCTCTACACCAACACCTCAGAGATAGATTTCCCACTCTTCAAGTATGAATCTCTACTTAAGAATTTGAGAAGGAGAAAGGAAGGTTTTAAAATTCTTAAAGCTCTTCTCAATACTCTCTCTAACTCATATGAAGAAATGAACTAATGAAACTCATTTCTAAAAAGGTCCTTAAATACCCATTTCTCTTACAAGTTTAACTTGACCTCTGTTCAGAGACACTTCTAACAACACAACTTAGAAGATATTTCACCAAATTTTTGAACTTCTCAACACAAAATCACAATTCAGCACTGCATACAAATAAAAATAACTATAACACTCTACAACTTATAGTGTTATGTACAGGCTGAACCAACTCACCAAAACTTTTACCAAAAAAATTAATTATTTCTTAAAAAATATTTATTATTAAGAGGTAAAATTAATATTTTAATTCTATATCTTTTAACCCAACTTTTTTATTTTGAACCTAACCCTCAAACATCAATTATTTTTATTTTTATTTTTTTACATTTTTTTCAAATTCTATTAATGAGCTAACTTGTCCTCTAATTCACTTAATACCTTTATTTAATTTTTCCTCATATATATATAAAAGACTTCCTGCTTCCAAAGTGAGTGTTTTTATTCACTATACAACCAGGCATCATATTTTACCAAAAAAATATGAAGAGAAAAAGTTTGACAAGTTTCTTTTACAAAAGAAAAATGAAGGGTTTCCGCATTTTGGGTGAAAATGGAGGTACTTGTTTGGAAGGCTTCTTAGGCACACAAATGCAATTACAAAAACTTCCTTCCCCACTCATGAAAATTAAAAAAAAAAAAAAAAATGTTAGTCACTTGTGATGATAAGCTAAAGAGAAAGCTTTTCTTTTGGTTCTCCCCGTCTTATTCTTGCCCATAACGAAGGTCGGATATAACTATGCAATGAGGAAGAGAGTGAGGAAAGAAAAAACAGAGAATTTTTTATTTTAAAAAAAATATTAAATAATGATGTAAATAAAAGGGTGTATTAATTGTATATCCAAAAGTAAAATTTGATTTCATTAGTTAATTAATAATAATTTTGTCTCGGTTGTCTTGTCTTATGGAGTAAAAACACATTCTTTAAGACTTTGACACTCTTTTAAACATATTTTATAGAACTTAAATTTGATATCATTAATTAATTAATAACAACTTTGTGTCAGTTAACTCGTTAGTAATAAAACATTCTTTAAGACTTTAACACTCTTATAAACATATTTTATTATTAGTTAAAAATTATTAAAAACTATCAAATTATAAATTCATTAGATAAGTGAGACCCTTACATTTCTATGATTTCTAATGATTTTCAATTAACAATAAACAATGTGTTCTAATAAATGTGTTGAAAGTAGGTTACTAACTTTCTCTTAATATAATGGAATGGATAGATAAAAAAAAAATCAATTTATTTAACATTTTTAATTTATAAGACCAAAATGAAACTGAAAAAAAAAAGAGTTAAATAATTAAATCTAAATAAAAAAATTTAATTACTAATTTCACCTAAAATAAAAAAAAATTTAAAAAACAAAAATGGACAAAAACAAGTATATATTTTTTAAGTAAATTAATTTAAAGAGGTAACTACTATTTATTAGCGATGATAAATAAACTCTTACCTATAGATAATTCTCGAACATGTTCCAATTTGTCAAAAAATAACTAATTTGATTGGACATAGGTGCTAGTACGCATAATGCCCAATTTATTAAATTATGTATGAGAACGAAAATGTATATGTAATTACTCACCATATCCTCAAACCTGTCTCCATTTTAAATTTCTAGAAACTTAATTTAACTTTTTATAAATTAGTTGAGTTCTTACTCTAAATTAAATTTATATTAGATGAAACTTAATTAATGTAATTTTGTAATCGATACTCTATATTAAAATTATTATTTTTATATATTTTTACAAAAAGTATTTAATTAATTTTTGGATGGGTAGAAATATGCTTGATATCTGACGAGAATAAAAATGAGACACAAATTTTATACTCATTGAGTATAAAAACAGGATAAGTATAGAACGAAAATGTATATATACTTACTTACCTTATCCTCGTTCCTGTCCTCATTTTAAATTTCTAGAAACTTAATTTAACTTTTTATAAATTAGTTGAGATTTATATAATTATTACTCTATATTAAATTCATATTAGATGAAACTTAATTAAAATAATTTTATAATCATTACTTTATATTAAAAATATTATTTATATTTTTTTACAAAAAAATATTTAATTACTTTTTTGGACAAATACAAATATATCTAATATATAAGAAGAATGGAAATGAGATACAAATTTTATGAATATAAAGACAAGATAAGTATAGAGTATGAACTTAAAAATAAAGTTAAAGATATTGAAACTCACAACTCCTACTACTATACTTAAAACATACTCCCTTTATTTTTTACTAGTAGGAAAAAGGCACTTCATACCTGCAATGTATTAAAAAAAGTAAATAAAAAAGAAAAAAATAAGAAATTACTCATAAAAAAGTAACTATTAAAAATAAATAAAGAATAAAATGATCCATAAAAAAATAGAAATCAAAATAGTTATTAAAAGTGGTAACTTAAATTTGATTAAAAAATATTTTTTTAATTTTTTAAAATAAAAAGGTATAATGATAAAAAAAAGTAAAAATCAAGGTAATTATCAAAAAAGATATCCCTTTTATCTATACTAGTATAGATAATAAGCAAAATAATTAATTTTATGCATATTAAGAAAGTTCATTATTTACATTAAATTTTACTGTTATAATTTTTTAAAAAAATTATCATTATTATAAATATCAAAAGACGGTAGTGTAGTTGAAAAATCATATATTAAGAAAAAAAATTTAAAAATATATTATTAAATGAAATTTACTTATGTTTAAGAAAAAAAATATTCTTATAATACGTTATTGAACAAGTATTTTTCATATAAACAATCAAGTGCAAATTTTTTTTAATAATCAAAGAGGAAATAAGGATAATCTGCATTTATATATATTGTAAATTGTTTTTACAAGTTATCTCAAAGAAAGCAGTGAAATGAACTGAAAATAGCTTATAAACGTATCAGAAGGCTTAAGTTCCCCAGAAAACCTAAGATATGTTATAAGATAAACCCAACTAAACTCTTTCCAAAATTAAGGGATCTAGTTTAGTTGTTTGAGCATAATGCGTGTATTATTATAAACTTCATTGGCCCAAAGTTCGATATTCATAGATAAATAAAAAAATCTAAACTCTTCCAAAATCACCTTAATTTAGTTGAAAATTATAGATAATTGAACACATCACTTGCGGAACTAAAAGGCTATCCAAAATCCATTGTAATATGCTGAGCATAGAGTTAAGCTACCATCCTAACAAAATTTTCAAACTATATTGCTATCACTACAAAAATTTTAGATTGCCACTACTGAATTGAATCCACTCCATCCAAAAACAAGGAAAAGCAGAAAACAAAGAGACCAGAAATGAAACAAAACCAAGAGAAATCCACATTCATATATGTTTACACAAAGGGTTATCATCATCCCGGCACCTTCTTACTACAACAAACCCCTACATGTACCTATTCTTTAAACCTAACACCATGATTCAAAGGGGCACCCCTGTTGTCAGCAGGAGAACTTAGATTCTCTCTTGCACAACAACCAACCAAGCAAGCCTCCTCCTCAACCTAACCCCAAACTAAAACACAAGTCAGATAAGAAGAAGAACCGTTACAATTACAATTACAATTAGCCTCTAGCCTCTAGATTACATAATCAGACCACTCAGAAATATGTGAAGTATGGTCCATGGTGAAACTAGGCATCTTGTCCAACCTAATGGGGTTTTCCTTCCCTCCAACCAACCTAGCAGGGTTCCCAACTGCAGTAGTCCTTGGTGGCACATCCTTCAACACCACAGAGCCAGCACCAATCTTAGCCCCATCACCAATCTTAATGTTCCCCAAAATACAAGTCCCTGCACCAATCAACACCCCATCACCAATCTTGGGGTGCCTATCCCCACATGCCTTCCCAGTCCCTCCCAATGTGACATTATGCAAAATTGACACATTGTTACCAATCACTGCAGTCTCCCCCACCACAAGCCCAGTTGCATGATCCAACAAAATCCCTCTTCCAATCTTTGCACCAGGGTGGATATCCACAGCAAAAACCTCAGACACCCTATTCTGAATCAACAGCGCCAAAACCTTCCTACCCTGAAGCCAGAGCTTGTGAGCAACCCTATGAGCCTGGCAAGCCAGAAACCCCTTGAAATTCAACAAGCAGTGGACATAGCTTATGCAAGCAGGGTCCCTCTCCTTGACAGCCACCAAATCATCCTTAACAGCACCCATGATGTCCCCCCCAACATCGTCGATCAACACACCCATGAAAAGATCGTAAAGGGTGGTGCTCGGGAGGCTCAAAGTGCTCAAATTTATGGACAAGTGGTTGGCCAAGGCACTCTCCAACGACTTGTGAGAGAGGATCGAGCTGAAATAGTAGCCCGACAAGATCGGTTCTTGGTCCACGTCCAGCTTGGCCTCGTCCTGAATCTTGCACCAGAGGTCGTGGTCGGCACGTGCGTCGAGGTCGTCGGCACGTGCGAGGGAGGGGTTGCAAATGGAGAAGGTGGGCCGGCAGAATTTGAGGTAGGCGTCGGGTTGGGGCGCGTTTGGCTTGCGGGAAAGAGGGGCGGCGGTGGGGGAAGAATCGACGCAGGTGGCCATGGGAGAGGAGAAGGAGAAAGGGTGAATCGCTTGCGAAGATGGGAACTTTTGGGTGTGGGGGAAAATGGGTGTGAATTGGATCGTGGAGGGAGTGAGAGGGTATGTCTTATATAAGGGGAAAGTGAGGACGCGACCTCCTAGGGCCAGAACATTCATGGAAAACAGGGGATAGTGAGAGAGAGAGAGAGAAGAGAAATGAGTTTTTGTTTTTGGTTTTTGTGATGACTGTGTTGAGTGTTGGTGAGGGTGTGTGATTCGTGTTCTGGTCCTGGTCTTAAGGAAGGAGATTGTGATTGCCACCTTTTTTCTTTCTTTTTTTTTTTTTTTATTATGTTGGGATTTTGGCGATTTAAGGGTCCATGGCGTTGCGTTTACGTGTTCGACGTGCAGCTTCACACCGGATAATGAAAGGATGTTGTTGTGGTTCTGCTTTTCTTTCTTTTTTGCTTTTTTCCTTAAATAATTCCTCTGTTTCTTTATTTTGGTTGCAAACTAATTCCTCTGTTTCTTTAGTTTGGTTGCAAACTAATTCCTCTGTTTTCACTCTAACAATTAAGAGAAATTTCTTCTTTCTCTAACTACTGATTTATTTCTCTACCAATAAATCACACCCTTGTCCTATGTTTGAAAAACTCAAATTACTAGTGCCCACAATTGCATGCACATCACATCAGAAATACATCATATTAAATTATTTGGGAGAAGTTTAATTGTGTGAAACCGTTGACACCTCAAATTTAAAAGATATTATATTAAATATGAAATAAATTATATGAAAAGAAAAATATTTATTTTATATATGATTATAATTTTTTTGATAAAGATTGATTATTATTTGTAACGATAAATTTTTTACATCAATATTATAATTATAAAAAAGATTAATAAAATTTAGTATTTAAAAATATCCAAAAAAAATAATAATATTCTTGATATTTAATGTATTATTAATTAATTTTCTTAATTTACTCGTTTATATATTATTCAACTATCGTAATCAAAAGTAATATATTTAACTATTATTTAAATAAAATTATATATAAAAAAAATATACCTTTAATATTATTCCTAATCTCTAAGTAAAAAATTTAAATTATAGTGAAAATTTAATATTTCTGAAATATTTATAAAAGGTTTAATTTATCATTTAGTTTGTGTATTAATTTTTTTTAATATCTATAAAATAATATTATATTTTTTATATGAAAAATTTTCTTACATTTTAGTCTATATGTTTTCAGTTTTGTGAGTTTCATGCTCCCGTAAAATTAACACCGAGATATAAAAAAAAAATTATCTGAAGCTAAAATGTAAAGTTTATAGATATAAAAGCTAAAATGAAAAATTGATGTAGTTGTTGTCCAATTAGAACCAAAAAAATTAAAATTTTAATTATTATTAAAAAAATTAATTAATATCAAATATCATATTTTGAATTATATTTTTTTTATCATTGTTTGATTCTTTAATATTTATGTACTTGTAAAAAGATGAAAGAATAATAAGATATGTTAAAAACTAACTACCAGATTAATTTAGTGAGTTGAAATTAGAATAATATACATAAAATCTTAGTTTAAATAGTTATTATAACTTTTTTAATAATAAAACAAATATTTAAATATATTTTTAGTCTCTCAAATTTAAGATAAATTTATTTTTTAGTTTCTCAAATTTAAAATTAATCTTTTTAATTCTATAATTTGTTTTTAAAAAATTGTTTTAGTTCTTAAACTCAAATTTTATTAAAAAATTTGTTAAATACTCTCTCGTCAAATTTACTTACAGGTGGTTGCTAGTGAAAAATAACACATTAAAATTAATTGATAGTGTACAATTATCTTAATTTATCAATTTTTAGATATATTATTGATTACATGAAAAATTATAATAAAAAATTTAAAATTATAAAGATTAAAAATAATAATTTTAAATTTAAAAATTAAAAATAAATTTGCTCTAAATTTAAAGTATTAAAAATATATTTAAATCTTGAAAAAAAAAAAGTTAAAAACCATTAATGCAAGTCCCCTTATGATTGAAGAGATTAGAAGGATACATAAGAGCTTATTAATAAAAACTTATAGATGAACATGAAGATCAATATAACTATTAATTTACATGGCAAGTGGAATTGTAATTAAGATGAAATGAGTAATATTATTAGAACTGACTCTAAAATCGTGTTTAGTTCTATTCTAAATTTTTAATTAACCAAGCAGAAATTTACGTATTATATTTTTAAATAGACACATAAAGAGAAAGAAAAAGTAGTATATATTTAAATATATATATATATATATATATATATATATATATATATAAAAGTGGTCAATATTTTCCTTAAATATATAACTAAGATAAATTGATGAAAAATTAAAACAAAAAATGGAATTACGTATAAAAGAAGACTTTCTTATAAAGGAAAGACGACATTTTTTACGAGTAGGCAAGCGAAATTTCAAGAATTTAATTGACATAATTTATAAATTTCAATTAATTTATAACTTTTTTTTTTCTAGTTTATACACTAATTTTATCAGATATATTCTTCGCAATCCAAAATGTACTCTACTTGTTGCAGTAGGAAATTTTCGGGGATACAATCATCTGATTGTTAACATATTTTAATACAAATTTAGAGTTTTTTACTCAAATAATATATTTTTAAAAAATATTTACCTAAATTGCAACTATGCAAATTTATTTTCCCAACTAGCACTATTTACTGTTTACGTATTTTTTTAAAAAAAATTTCGTTGTAGGTCCAAGTTATCTGGGAATTTTGCATCTGGAATGACCTGTTCTTAAACCAGAACGGGCCGTTCTAGAGTTAAGTTTTTCACATAACCTAAATGTTGGAACGGTCCGTTCTAAACTAGGGATTTTAGTCCTTTTTTTTAGTTTGGAACGGGCCGTTCAACTTTTGGAACGGCCCGTTCTAGCCAATTTATGCAATATGCTTTTTTTTTTTTAAATTTTTTTCAATGTAATATGAATTTTAATGTTTTGCTTATAAACTATTATAATTATACATTATTTGTACATGTTTTCGTAGTGTGATCTACAAGTTATCCATATTTTTCATTATTAATCACAGTTTGACTCGTACAAGTTTCGAATCTATTAAGACAATGTCCCATTATTATCATCTCGTGTTTTTAAGTTAAGTTTAAGACATTATAATTTCATACTTCAAAGGTATTTCCTTTAAATCTAGCTTCAAACTTAGCATTGCAACGAATACAATTTACCCTTTCAACACAAACACAACGTAGTCTCAAAGAGTAACATCAAGTAATTAAATTTATTGAATATTAACATTATAAATATAACTAAATAAAGTTATTAAAACTCATTACAACAATAAAATCAATGGTGACAAGAACTAAATCCATGACCAATATTTGGACATGTCTTCCTAGTGTGACTAGAGGTATGACAATAGGAATAATTTTTTACATGATTATGTTGTTCTCTAATATCTATCTCTGTTCTAATCCTTCGTATACCTTTGCAACTTGTTGTAAGGTATATATGGGAGACATGTAGGTTTGATAGTTGTGATGTGCATGTAAGCATGAAGCGAGCAAGGAATATGAACTTTTTACAACTTGCCACAATCAAACCACATTTCATCTAGCCTGCCTCTTTGAACGAAAAACTTGTTGCAACGAGTTTATGTGGCCATTACCATGGAACAAATTGGTAGATTTCGTGTTTTCTTCAATACAGAATTAATAGACTCAGTTAGGTTTGTTGTCATGTGTCCCCAACGTCATCCATTGTCCCATGCTAGTGTCCTTTTTTTCCTAGGAATGTTGTCTAACCATTGGGCTGCTTCAGCATTAGTATCTCTTATTATGTTGTAATAGTAAAAGAATCTAGGTTCAGTCATCCCATAGGCTAAAAAAAATAATAATTAAATAATGAAAACTAATTATTAAATGTTTAAAAAAAAGTAATGATAAATTACCTATGTTGACGACATCCTTCTTCAGCGCTTCATTTTTGAATCGTCCCATGAAATTTTGTGTAGTGTGTCGAATACAATAGACATGAACAAAATTATTTTCTGTCCAACCACTTCCATTTCTTGAGTATGCACTTCGAATAGCTTCATGACGATCAGAAATTAGGCACAACTCGTCTTGCGGTGTTACATACCGCCTTAAGTTCTTAAGAAAAAAAATCATGCATCGCCAGTTTCACCTTCAACAACAGCAAATGCAATAGGAATTATGTTGTTGCGACCATCTTGCGCAACTGCGACCAATAACGTACCTTGTATTTGTCGTATAAAAAGGCTCCATCAACTTGAACAATTGGTTTGTAGAAGGCAAAACCATCAATGCATGGTTTAAAGGTCCAAAATAACCTTTTGAATATAACATTCCCCTCTTTCCCAGAACGAGTCGTTCCAAAACCAGATCGAACGGCTCGTTCTAAACTTCTAAAAAGGCCTAAAAACCTAGTTTAGAACAGCTCGTTCTGGTTTTAGAACAACCCATTCTGACTTTGAAACAGACTGTTTCAGATGCAAAATTAACACATGTTCAAGCAAAACGGCTTGTTCTGGTTGCAGAACAGGTCGTTCCAAATACGCGAAAAAAATTAAAAAAAATGTGAACAGTAAATGGTGCTAGTTGGGGAAATAAATTTGCAAAGTTGCTATTTGAGTAAAAAAAAAATTAAAATATATTATTTGAGTAAAAAATTCACAAATTTATAAGTATTTTTGAGAAAATTTTATTAAAAAATATTTTTTTGTATAAATTTTAATTTTTTAAAAAATACTTATATATAACTTATGTCCTAACAAACTCTATATTCAATTTCCATACTTGGTGAAAATTAAAATTACGTTTACAAAATTTCTTTAACTTAAAATTATTAGAATTTATTCCACTTGTTATAATTAATCTATTGATATGTTATAAATATTTTATTGCACTTAATATTTATTGAATAATTTTTTGATTCTTCAGAAACGATAAAGGCAAAATAATTGAAGAATTTTAAGTATTAAATAAAAATTACCTTGATGAAATAATTAATTAAGGAAAATAATATTGATTTGATATAAAAAAAAATAGAAAAACATGTATTCCAAAATAATGAAGTCATGCGACAGTAAAAGGAAGGAAACATTTTAAAAAACTATTTTATTTTAGAAAATTAAAACTGAAATTTCTATTATCAAATAAAAGAGATGATAAAACTTAAAACATTGAAATAAAAAATTAAAAAAAAATTAATAAATAATCATATTAATTTTTCTTAAA